TGTTAAACTTGATCCCCTTTTCTTGTTAATAGGGAATCTGGTATTTTGTTATGAAGGTTTCTTGAAGAGATTATTTTTTTGCAATTAATCACATTTAGTGTAGAGGACATATATAGTAAATTAAAGAACCCAGAAAGCTGAATCCAATAATGACCTGGGTACACCAATTGGAATGTTGAAGTTGGGGAAACTGAGGGCTGAGATCAAGAGGGATTGATTGGAAAGCAGTGTTAAGTAGAATGGTTTGATAAAGCAAACACTATGTTATGTTTATACAGCAGGTATCCTAACTGATTTGTCTTCAGCCTTGGTGCTTTGATCCTTGGGTTTTTTTTGACCCCACAACTGTGGTCTGGTTTATTTAATGAGAAAATGGCTTAAGAACAAACTGTTTCATGTTAAGATCCAAAGACAACTGAGTCTAGGGTTTTCCCAAATTTCCCTGCTGGACAGGATCTATAGCTACACTTAGTATACTTGTAACACATGGTAACTGGATAGTAAATGGTTTTATAGTTCCATTGCTGTATATTGCCTAAACAGACTTGTGTTCAAAATTATTTCTTCAGTTGTCATAACATCTACCAAATGCGGAAGAATTAGGAATTAGTTATGTTAATAATGCTCTGAAAGGGATTCAGGGTAGCAACAGCCATCTAAATGTCTATATATTGTCCCCACCCCCCAGTCTGGGGTTTGTTCCCAAGGTCTTATGCATGCTAGGCAAGCACTCTACCACTGAGTTGTACTCCCAGCCCTTTGTCTTCCTTGTTCATTTCTAATTCTAGTAATGAATTTAGATTTTCCCTGAAACTAAGTTGAATCAGTTCCAAAATGAAACAGGCTTCTCAGGGACATCTACTTCTTCCCACTCTGCCTTTGAGTTAAAGCACCAAGTAGAGACCACATTATTTCTCTTTGCCATACTGTGATCCCTACTATGTTATTTCTTCAGAAACCAAAATATCACTGAGAGAAGGCTGGCAGAACACRGGTGAATTTTTCATTATGGGAGAAAAGGTCAAGTGGCATATTGTCATTTTCTTCCTTATTGTCACTTTATGAGCTAAGAAAAAGGCTTAAAAACTCAAAAGACTTTTGGTCTTAGTTCTGCCATTAATCAGTTGTAAGTTCTAGAGCAGCTTAAGTTAATCTCCCTGGCCTTTCCCCATGTGTAATAGAGAAGTACTTCATGGTAGCATGACAATTTAAGACACCAGCAATAGAATACAACTATGATGACATTCCATGAAGTGTATTTTATAGTTCTAACTACTAAAATTAGTTCTCTTTATGGAACAATTTCTAATAAATGCTTGGTTTTAAAATACATGGTTGGCCAGAGGTGCCCTATCCTTTGATTATGAGTGGGTGCTACCTTTTGGGATATTTATTTGAAATACTAATTCTTTGGTACTCAGTTGTCAATGTTCCATGGTATATATTTTTGTCCTTGGCATAAGTGGAAACCTAATAGGGGGGAAGAAGAGTCTTTTAATTACTACCTCTTAACCTTCTTGGAGCAACTGAAGTCTTTGTTGGAAGGAGTTATTAGTGTGTATTTTTTTAGCATTGTTTTGTGCTCTTAAGTACTGATTGAAAGCACAGATTTGGGAAAATGAGCCAGTGGCATAAGGCACCTCCAGGAAGTTGGCTCTTTGGGTCTTGACCTTTCCCTCCTACCATACTACCATCTCTTTCCCAAGGAATACATATTTTGCCTGTTTTTTTTTCCCCTTTCATGTTTTATCTTTTCTTGGTCAAGTATAAGCAATAAAGCTGTTTTGTTATTAATCTTTCAACTCCAAATTCTCTTCTATGCCTTAAGCTAAGACTTTCAYGCTACTTCCAACCCTTTTAACTATGGCTTAGGGTGGCTCTTTAAAACCTATCATCTCCTATTTGCACTACTAGCCTTGGAACATGTTTATTTCTAATGTTCCTGCCAGATATCTCAATATTAAATCCTAAAATGAAATTTAAAGGAAAAAAAGAAAGTTGGAGAATTCATGTTTATTGAATAACTGGTGTGATACAACCTGGAATTTCTGAATTCCAAATAAATAAAATTTCACTTTTTGAACATTCGATCTGTTACTTTTTAGCACCAACAAACTTGGTAACAGCCTGATGCTGACTTGACAATTGGTTGACAATTCCTCCCCCACTTGCACTTCAATCTTAATAACAAGTCCTTTACTGCTTTTGTCATTTTCTTAAGGGGTGGCCTACTGCCCTCCTTTCTGTACAATCTGGGCAAACCGACTGGTGATGGCAAGAGTAGTGTCAATGAAGCGGTCCACACAGCTAGAGAGACAATTTTCAGTTCGAGAGTCTAGGCGATTCCCTGGCTTCTCCACACATTTATCCCAACATAGTTCCATGAAGTGATGCACCTAAGGAGGAAGAAAAATATTAACCATTGGGGTCTGTAGATAACCCTAAGTGATCACTCTCTTACTTCATTTTCAATTTCCTCACAAAACCATCCTTTCAACCAATGAACCATGGGAAATCACTTTGGGCTCTTTGTTACATGTCTCCAGTTGGTCCAGATCCTCATCCCTACAGATGGTAAATTCTCAGGTAGTGCTAATACCTTCTTTAACATCCCCCAAGGCAGCCAGCACAAGGTAAAAACGGGAAAGTAGCAGCACTCATTCAGAACCTGTGCCCTGAAGACAATGTTAGTTCTTAACATTGTGGGGGCCATGGATACATTAAGAATACGGATTCATTCTCCAGAAAAAAGTGCATATATGGGCACAGAAAATGTGTGCATTTTCAGAATATTCAGGACCCAAAAATTTCTAACAGGTTCTTGCTACTCTACCTGCATAGTGCCTCCTCCTACTGCCCAGCAAAAGGGAAAAAATAAACATTTACCCGCGGTATTTTTGAGAGGCTAGGTACTAAATATATGTCCAAGGTCATGCAGCCAGCAAAGGCCACGCTGGGGTTTGAATCTCCCCTATAAGTTCTCCAAAACAAAACAAAACCCTTGCTTTGCAATGAATTCTTTTTTTTTAACATTTTTTTTTTTAGAAGTAGTTGGACACACAATATCTTTATTTTTATGTGGTGCTGAGGATCGAACCCAGGGCCTCACACGTGCTAGACTAGTGCTCTACCTCTGAGCCACAATCCCAGTCCTGCAATGAATTCTTTTTTTTTTTTTTTAATTTTTAATATTTATTTATTTATTTTTTGGTTCTCGGCGGACACAACATCTTTGTTGGTATGTGGTGCTGAGGATCGAACCCGGGCCACACGCATGCCAGGCGAGCGCGCTACCGCTTGAGCCACATCCCCAGCCCCTGCAATTAATTCTTAAGAGCTCAGCTTTCTCCAATAATGTTTTCGTGCCCATTATTTTCAAATACATTATCGCAAACGATCTTCACCAATCCACAGAAGCAGAAAGCGACAACGAAATCAAAACAAAGTGGGTGGGTGTCTCGACTCCTGGCACGTGGCCTTCAAAAGGAGAGGCAGATGGGAGCCCACACAGTCCCCTGGCTGGTAAGGATCCCATGCTTTTAACTTCTACCCCCTACCTGAGCACTACTGCAGGGGACCGGGTCACAGCGCGGATCCAGCTTCCAGTCGCCTCACCACTTCGTCAGTAATACAGAGCTCCACGGGTCGGGGACCTGTACTTCACCTTCCTTTTCTTAAAACTCCCAAGGCTGATCCCGGCCCTCTCACCTGTGCAGTGAACTGCGCTTTCTGCTGTTCAGCGGCCACCAGGCGCTGTAACTCCGCTTCGTCCGCCTCCCCAAGCTCCGCCATTCTCAGAATCAGACTTGTGAGTGCGCGTGCGCAGTGAGTGCGACAGACTCCTACTTCCGGTTCACCTAGCGTTTTTCTCCGCGTTTCCTGTGGTCGTTGTGGGGTGGGAGTTGTCGCATAACTGCTTCCGGGTTGATGGACGACCTTGAGCCCTCAAAAGCGAGATGGCGGTTCTCTTGAGGCTCGGTGTCCTCTGCGGTGCTCAAGGAGGCCGAGGTGAGGGGTCCTGGCAGGTAGAGTTGTTTATCGCAGTCTCCAATCGGGGAAGGGGATGGGAGTGAAGACTCTACTGACCTGTGGGGAGACATCTTGAGTAGAAGGTCTTCCCTCTCTGCTGCGCCTCAGGCGTCTGTGCGACTCACCGCAGTGACCACTGTGGCCTGCGGGCCCAAATGTTCACCTGAGCGCGTATCACACCTGCTTAAGGCTGAAGTGGTGATGGGGTAATTTGGAAGAAAGTTCCTCTGGAAGTTACAGTGTTCCCGAGGATATTCCACATAGGAACTCTTGTTTTTTCTTACCTTGCACCAGGAGAAAGAGTCCCAATGCGTGGTTTCTCAAGTTTTTCCTAACGAGTTGTGTTTAAGTGTGGATGTAGGGGATCAGTTCGATAATCTTGTAACTGGGCATTTATGTTTTACCAGTGCTGAAGTRAGGCTGGATACAAGTTTGAATAAGACGTAACGCCTGCCCTCGAAGAACTTTCATTTTTTAGGGAAAATGTTGATAACAATAATCTAACATAAAGCAAAAACTTGTTGTGTACGTAAATTGTTATGTGAGTTCAGAGAAAGAATATTTTTAGCTGTAGTTTGGAAGGATTACCCTGTCTTGTTTTTTTTTTTTTGTTTTGTTTGTTTTTGTTTTTACTACTAGGGATTGAACCCAGGGGTTCTTTACTAATGAGCTACATCCCCAGCCCTTTTTGCTTTTTATTTTGAGACCGGGTCTCACTAAGTTGTGGCGGCTGACCTGGAATTTGAGATTCTCCTGCCTCAGGCTCTTGATTTGCTGGGATTATAGGCGTGTACCACCCCTCCTCTCTTTCTTACTTTCTTTTCTTTCTTTCTTTTTTTTTTTTTTTYTTAAAGATCTAAGATTTTTTATCCACTTTTTAAAAATTGGTGCATTATTGTTATACATAATTTTGGGCTTTTTTATTATATATTTATGCATGCACACAGTATAACAGTGTTATTTGGCCAGTACTTGGCTCCTAAAGAGGTATGCCTGATTTGAGTCTTGAGGATAAAGAAAGTAAGGAATAAGGATCTGCTGAAATGAGCAAAAACAATGATGAAGGCATAGAATCTGCATGGTATGAGAGAAAACAAATACAATAGTGTGAGAACATGAAGATCAAGGTGAGAAATGAATTTAGAAATGTGAAGTGAAACTGAATCATAAAAGAATCCATCTTTTTTTAAATATATTTTTTACTTGTACATGGACAAATACCTTTATTTTTATTTTTACATGGTGCTAAGGATCAAACCCAGTGCCTCACAAGTGCTAGGCGAGCACTCTACCACTCAACCACAACCCCAGCCCAAGAATTGATCTTAATATAAGATTGTGTGCCTTACCTTATGGAAGTGTAGCTTTTTTTTGTTTGTTTGTTTGTTTTGTTTTGGTTTTTGTTTTTTGTACTGGGGATCAAACCCAGGGTGCTTTACCATTGAGCACATCCCCATTCCATTTTATTTATTTATTATTATTATTATTATTATTATTATTTTTATTTTTATTTATTTATTTTAGTTTTCGGCAGACACAACATCTTTGTATGTGGTGCTGAGGATCAAACCTGGGCCGCACGCATGCCAGGCGAGCGCACTACTGCTTGAGCCACATCCCCAGCTCCGCCATTCCATTTTATTTTGAAACAGGGTCTCATTAAGTTGCTTAGGGCGTTGATAAATTGATGAGACTAGCCTTGAGCTTACAATTCTTCTGTCTCAGCCTCCCAGGCTGCTGGCATGCACCACCGTGCCTGACTTTTTCTTTTTTTCTTTTTTTTTGAAACAGAATCTTTATATTTTGTCCAGGCTGTCCTCCAACTCCTAAAGGATTGCCATTGAAATGTTTGACAGGGGCTGGGGATGTGGCTCAAGCGGTAGCGAGCTCTACTGGCATTCGTGTGGCCCGGGTTCGATCCTCAGCACCACATACAAACAAAGATGTTGTGTCCGCTGAGAACTGAAAAATAAATATTAAAAAATTCTCTCTCTCTCTCTCAAAAAAAATTTTAAAAAAACCGAAATGTTTGACAGATTTGCAATTTAAACTTATCATTTTGGTAACAATATAGTACATGGCTCTGATGGAAGATAGAGAAGACTCAGATACAAGTCAGGGAGACACTGTGGTAGAAGTCTGGGCACAGTGTCATCTCCCTGAGTTAAGATGGAAAGAAAAGAAAGAAAGAGCTGGGAAAGTGTGTGTGGGCATTTCTTAGATGACATGGGATTAAAGTAAGGGTTAAGTATATTACATTGAGGGAAGATAGCCAAATGGAAGGAGAAATTAAAGATATAGGAGATAAAATAATAAGGAATTCTTGTGTGTCTTCAACTTTATGAAAACTGTGCTAAATCCCTTATATATATTATCAATTTTTTAACATTATTGTGAAGTAAGTACTATTATTCTTTAACAAATGAGGAAATTGAGGCTTAGAGACCCCATTTAATTAAGCTGATTTTTATGTCAGAGGTAAAAAGTGGTGCACCTGGGTGAATTAGGTCTATTTTTCAACCAAKAGATAGGGTCCAGTAGGGATAGAAATGGTTCGAGAGTATTAAGTAGAGACATTGGTCTTGAAATGGAAGAAGTTAATATGTGAACTTTTCAGACTGGACTGAATTCTTCAAGAGCAGAGACTTTGTCTTTTATCTGTCTTGCTCCAGAACCAAGCATAGTCTTGATTTTAGTAAATATTGGATAAATAGATGAGAATAGAGAAGAAGCTACCTTTTTTTTAAGTAGATAAAAGTGAGGTCCTTTTACATAAGTGTTTCATTGAGTCTTCAGTCTTTTGATGATTACCTGGTTGAGTTCATAGTTAACCCCGTGAAATCAACACTATCTTCATTTTGTAGATGAGATATTATCTCATGTTTAGGGTTAAGTAGTTTGTTTATTATGATCACTTAGAAAGTCTGTCAGTTCTGTTAAAGAAGAGGTGCTTATGATCCCTGTAATGTTTCTTTCCTCAGCTCTGTTCCTCCGAACCCCATTGGTCAGACCTGCTCACATCTCAGCATTTCTCCAGGACCGACCTACCCCAGGATGGACTGGAACACAGCACATTCACCTGTCACCAAACCGCCATTGTATGTTTTTCCATCACTGCTGTTTTCTTGGCTCTAACCTGGGTTCATTATCATGTCTTTGGTAGGGCTTGAGGTCTATTAGGGGGACTCCCCTGTCCACCTGTATCAAAGGAAGACCTAATTTTAGGCAGACAGTGACAGCATAGTTGAATAATACCACTTATACTCAGAGAGAACCTTCTGGCCTAATTAGGTCTTCAAAATTTTTTAAAAATTTCTTTAAAAAGAAAATAACGCTTAGGAAGATTCTGCTCAGTACAATTTAATCACTTGTGTATATTTAGCTAATGGATAGGAGCCAGATGTAGAAAATTGAGACAATTTAAAAAGTCATGTCCATACACTGTAATGTGTACTTATAGCTGGGATTATTTTTTTTTTTTAAGGTTACTTTAAAACCATATGGCATTTCTTAGAGGAATGCTATTTAGTATTATTCAGATTAGTCTTAGAAAATCTGAAGATGAACTGGATGTGGTGGTGAACACCTGTAATCTCAGCAACTCAAGAGGCTGAGGCAGGAGGATTGCAAGTTTGAGGTCAGCCTCAGCAACTTAGTGAGGCCCTAAGCAACTTGTCTTGAAATAAAAAGGACTGTGGTTATAGCTTACTGGTGTAGGGTCTTTGGGTTTGATCCCCAGTACCTATCCCCACCCCACCCCCCCAAAAAAATGAGGAAGTAAATAATGACCCAACTATATTTTTATTTTTAAAGTCTGGAGAGATCAGTGATTGGCATTTGGGGAGTGGCAGTTAGTAACCAGTGACTGAACCCAGTGGTGCTTAACCCACTGAGCCACATCCCCGGCCCTTTTTTATATTTTATTTTGAGATGATCTCGCAGAATTGCTTTAGGACTTCATTAGGTTCTGAGGCAGGCTTTGAACGTGCAGTCCTCCTGCTTCAGTCTCCCAAGCTACTGGGAACAGTGTTTTATATAAAGACTTCACTCATTAGTTATGAGAGCCTAAGTGAGAATAGTTTTTCTGCTTCTTCTTCCTATTATTGGTGATTGAATCCAGGGTTGCTATACCACTGAACTCTATCCCCAGCTCTTTTCATTTTAGTTTGACACATGGTCTTGCTAAATTGCCCAGACTGGCCTCAAACTTGTGAGCCTCCTGTCTCAGTCGCTCACGTCATTGGATGATAGGCATATACCACCATACCCAGCTTTGAAAACTTTGTGGATTCCTTTGCTTAGTATGGTTGGATTTAGCAGAGTGGTTCTGGAGTACACAGGGCTGAAGAAAAGTCTCTGAAGTTGTATACATAAATATGTATTTATGTACATTTTTCTGGGAAGAAACTCCTCTATCCTTTTATTAGATTCCCAAAGGGGTCTGTAACCAAAAAAAAGATAGTCTTTCAAAGAGATATTTAAAGTCCCTACTGTTTTTTACTTTAATAAGAGTTTTTTTTTTTTTAATATTTATTTTTTAGGGCTGGGGATGTGGCTCAAGCGGTAGCGCGCTCGCCTGGCATGCGTGCGGCCCGGGTTCGATCCTCAGCACCACATACCAACAAAGATGTTGTGTCTGCCGAGAACTAAAAAATAAATATTAAAAATTCTCTCTCTCTCCCCTCTCTCACTCTCTCTTTAAAAAAAAAAAAATATTTATTTTTTAGTTTTTGGTGGACACAATATCTTTATTTTATTTTTATGTGGTGCTGAGGATTGAACCCAGTGTCCCGCGCATGGCAGGCGAGCACGCTACTGCTTGAGCCACATCCCCAGCCCCTAATAAGATTTTTTGTGTTTCATTTGTTTTGGACTTATTTGTAAGTCCAGGTCAGAAGAAGGACCATGATCTCTGAAGACCTTTGCTTTGCTTTGAGTTGGTAGATTTAACTTTATTTTCAGAGGATAATACTTCATTACTTGCAAAGGTTAGAAGGTCTAAAATAACAAGTAATTCATCAGATGTTGCTAACTTATATTCATAAGGTACCTATTTCACTGAAGTCTAAGGTTGGCTTCATTCTGCCTTCTTGCTAATAAGCAAAGTATGCTCGTCTTCTAATTAATATGTATAGGCATGAGACACCCTAGTGCTAAAAGACTTCAACAAAGGAATGTTCTCTCCCTCAGTGAACTGTTTTTATATCTTAATCTCTTTTTGCTCAGTTAAATGTTGCATGTATACTGTTTGCCGTTCTGTCATTTTAGGTTATTATGTGCTAAATGTTGAACATGAGAGCTGTGTGTCTCTTCTCTCTTTTTTTTTTTAATGTTTATCTTTTAGTTATACACAATACCTTTATTTTGTTTATTTATTTTTATGTGGTGCTGAGGATCGAACCCAGGGCCTTGCACGTGCTAGGTGAGCGCTCTACCGCTGAGCCATAACCCCAGCCCTCTTCTCTTAACTCTATGGAATTTGGTCTGTTTTTACAGCTGGTTCCAAGGCTGCATCTCTTCACTGGACTAGTGAGAGGGTTGTCAGTGTTTTGCTCCTGGGCCTGCTTCCAGCTGCATATTTGAATCCTTGCTCTGCAATGGACTACTCCTTGGCTGCAGTCCTCACTCTTCATAGTCACTGGCAAGTATAACAGTCTCTTCAGTATTTATGTTGTCTGCTCAGTTTGCTTGGCTTGTGAGTTTTATATTGTATATGAGGGAGAAGTTGATTGAGATATTCAAGACTTGTAGAAAACTATATATCCAGATACATACATTCATTGCCTATTTGATGTTTTCATTTTCATATCTAAACAGGCTTTTGAATAGAAATAAAATTGAGTTCCTATCTTTTCCAAATCTGGTCCTCCTGTACCCTTACCTATCTTAATTGACAACGTTTCCATTTTGCTTCTATTTGTTCAAGTCAAACTTGATCTCATCCTTAATTCCACTAGTATTCTCCTAACTTCTTCCTTTACTATCTGTTCCCAAGACAACATATCCAGTGATCCTGTTAAAATATTAAGTTAGGAAAAGACATTCCAAACTCTTTTTTATCTCCTAATCTTACTCAAACTAAAAGAATTTTTCAGTGCTCTACAGACTGTACATGACCTAGGACATGGTGGCGTATGCCTATAGTTAGAACTATTATTGGGGAGGCTGACAGGAGATTTTTTTTCTAATTTAAATAGAGATTGAATCTAGGGGCACTTAACCACTGAGCTACAGCCACATCTCCAGCCCTTTTTATTTTTTATTTTGAGACAGGGTCTCACTGAGTTGCTTAGGACCTTGCTTAATTGCTGGCCTCAAACTTGTGATCCTCCTCCTTCAGCCTCTGGAGTCTCTGGGATTACAGGCATGTGCCACCACATCCAGATGACAGGAGAATATTGAGTTCAAGATCAGCCTGGGCAACATAGCAACACAGTGTCTCTCTCCATCTCCTCTCTTTTTGTGGTACTGGGATTGAACCCAGGGGCACTCTTAGAAGTGACCTACATTCCCAGCCGCTTTTGACTTTTTAATTTTGAGACCGGGTCTTGCTAAATTACTCAGCTAGCCTCAAACTTGGGACTTTCTCCTGCCTCAGCTTTCCAAGTAGCTACTATTACAGGTGTGCACCACCATACTTGGCAAGACCTGTCTCTAATAAAAATAAGTAAATAAATAGATTTTGTCCTCAGACTTTACGTGATCTGGTCCTCTGCTTCCCTCATCTCCAGCTATTCTTTTTTTTTTTTTTTTTTTAATCTATATTAGATTATTCCTTGATATTTCTCAAACACACTGGGGACACTTCAGGCTTCAGGGCTTTACTCTTTTTTTCTTTTTTCTTTAAGTTGTAGATGGACACATACCTTGTATTTTATCTATCTGTTTATTTATTTAATTTATTTTTATGCAGTGCTGAGGATTGAACCCAGTGCCTCACACATGATAGGTAATCACTGTACCACTGAGCCATGACCCTAGCTTTACTCTTAATGTTCTTTCTATCTGAAAGTTTGGTAGTTACATACTTGGCTTGTTCCATCATCTCTTTCACATCTTAAATGTCATTCTTTCAACAAATCCTTCCCAAACTAATTCCTCAGAAGTGTAATGTTTCTTATCTTTTCTGATATTCCTTATCTTTCTGTTTTATTTTTATCAATAGTACTTATAACCTTTTAATATACGATATCAGCTTTTTATTAATTTGTATATTTGTCATTTCCCACCCTTAACACCATAATGAAAGTACAGATTCAGAAAAATCACAAAAATTAGATCTATAGTTTAATGAATTATAAGGGTAATAGCACCCAGATCAAAAATAGAACTTTGCTACCTATTCAAGTAGCCTCTTCGTTGTATTTCATCTCAGTCATAACTGCTCAGTATTCCTTCTCCCTCTGGAATCATTATCCTGATTTTTATAGTAATCACTTCCTTGCATTTTGTCATAGTTTTATCCCTCAAATGTGCATCCCTAGATACTATAGTTTACTCTTGCCTTAAAAAAATGCATCTTTAAAATTATTTTTATTTGCTCTTTTGTACTTAAAATAGTATCTGACACATAGCATTTTGTAAATACTCGTTGAATGAGTGCATATCTATTTTCTATTTACTTTTGTATAACTTTTAAGACTTGCTAAGTTAATGAAACGTATAAAGGAGTTTAAATAACAGGTTGAATTTCCTGAGTTGTTTCTTTTTCTTTTCTTTTCTTTCTTTTTTTTGAGATATTGCAGATAGAATCCAGAACCATGCACATGCTAGGCAAACACTCTGCCATTGAGGTATACCTCCAGCCCTTTTAATTTTATTTTGAGATAGAGTCTCCCTAAGTTGCCTAGACTGGCCTGGAACTTTCAATCTCTTCTCGTCAGCCTCCCAAATAGCTGGAATTGCAGGCGTGAGGTACCATCACACCTGACTGAGTTGTTGTTTTACAAGAACAATGTAATATAATTGGTAGGAGGGGGAAGGTGTTTTAAGATTGTTAGAACTAGAAAGTCTTGGAATATCTTAACCAACCCTGTGATTCTACCAATGTGGAAACTAAATCCCACTGAGCCCTTTAAAAAATATATTTTTTTAAAAAATTTGAAACAGGGTCTTGCTAAGTTGCCCGGGCTGGCCTTTGACTCATGATCCTCCTGCTTCAGGCTCCTGAGGAGCTTTTTTTGGTGTGTGTGTGTGTGGGGGGGGGGGGGTACTGCAGATTGAACCCAGGGGCACTTGACCATTGAGCCATATTCCCAGCTCTTTTTATATTTTATTTTGAGAGAGGGTCTTAGGGCCTTGCTAAGTTACTGAGGCTGGTTCTGTACACACAGTCTTCCTGCCTCAGCCTTACATCACCATGCCTGGCTAATCTTGACTTTCTTGATGTTCTATATAGTTTACCCAGATAAACTCAGCTTTGACCTCATTTCCTGAGCTGCATACTTGTTTATCCCGTTGTCTAATTGACATGTCTATTTGGATGTCTGAGCGTCATGCCCAATTTAATATTTCCCAAATCATTCTTTTTCTCTTCCAGATTTCTCTGATTTCCCCTTAAAACCTCCTCCTCTATTAAATCTAGTTGCTCAATCTAAAAATCCTAGAATTCATTCTAGATATTTCTTTTTGTCTTACCCTTTAGTTTCCATTAGTTCTCTCTTCAAAACGTAGCCTGAATTGTGACTTAACATCACCTCCTTGGTCAGAGTCTCTTTAAACCAACAGTCTTGCTTAAGTCACTTCAGTTACTTTCTGCTTTTGTTTTTATCTCTTCCTGCTTTCCATTCGCACACAATAGCCAAAGTGACCTTTTTAAAGTTAAATTTTTCCAAAGAGGATATAAATGGTTAATAAACACATGAAAAATTGGACGATATTATTTGTCATTACAGAAATGCAGATTAAAAAACCCCACAATGATAAAACTACAAAACACCTACTCAGGATGGCTGTGGAAAAGAAAATGGACAATTACAAGTGTTTCTAAAGATATAGAGAAGTTGATACTCTCATATATTTCTGCTAGGAATGTATAATGTTACACATTTAGATATACCTTAGCAGTTCCAACGAAAGTTAGTAATCATTACTCAGTAATTCTACTTTTAAGTGTATACCCAAGAGAATTGAAAATGTTTCCACCTGAAACTTTTATAAGAATGTTTATAGTATATTATAATAGCTAAAAAGTATAAACATTCCTAATGTTCATCAACTGATAAATACCTGAATAAAATATGGCATACTCATACAATGGAATATTATCCAGCTATACAGAGGAATGAGGTACATGCTGCAATGTGGGTAAACATTGAAAAAAATGCTAAATAAAAAAAGTTTGACTTCACGGCCACGTATTGCATAATTTCATTTATATGAAACATTTACAAGGAATAGGCAAATCCAGAGACAGAAGCAAATTAGTTGTTGGGTAATGGCTGATGGTAGAAAGTTTCTATTTGGGGATGACAAAAATATTCTGGAATTAAATAATGATGATAGTTCACAACTCTGACTATAATAAAAATCACTGACTTGTATAGATAAAAAGGTGAAGTTTATGGTATGTAAATTATATATCAATAAAATTACTATCTATAAAATTAGATCACTCCTTACTTAGGATCCTCCCTGCTTAAAACATGCTCCTGGTTTCCTATTTCAAATAAAATTTAAATTTCTGTGACTTCAAAGCCCTAAGCAATCTACCCCTGCCTTCCTTTGATCTTTCCTCATTTCCTCTAATCTTTTCCTTATGTGCTCCAGCTATACTGTTCTTGTGTCCCCCATACTGTTCTTTGTATGCTCCACCTATATGTCCTTCAGAGATACCAGTCATTGTCACGTTTATTTGGACTGTTCTTTAAGTCATTCTTTCTAATATATTTCTTCAGTTAATATTATTGCAGCTAGGGATTGAACTTAGAATCTCAGACAAGCAAGGCAATTGCTCTACCACTGAGGTAGACAATATATATTGTCTAATATATTTCTTCATACTAACACATATATTTAATTTTTTTCTTTCTTCTTTGTTAGAATATTTATCCCATAAAGGCAAGGAATGATTATTTTCATTTTGTGTACTGGCACATAGTATCTCCTATTCAAATATCAATTTGAATATTTTTCAAATTAATGAAAAGCTCTATAGTTAAACTATAACTATACTTTGTAAACAGGGGAGCATTCAGTTATTGTTTCTGATATAAATGACTCTGGAAAATTGATTTCCAAAGAGTAAGAATATATCTTTATGACATATTAGGAAAATCTTGATATTTCTTCATTTTGGTTTATTACCATGAGTTTGGTTTATTGTCTCAACAAAAATATGGAAATAATTCCACCTATCCCCTAAATAAGCAAACAGTTACTGGCTGGACAGAGAGAAATTGCATTTTTAAACTACTGGGTTTTTTTCTGTTGCTGTTGTTTTTAGATACATTATCTATTAGCCTTCCAACTTCACTCATGTGTGATTTTTTTTCCCCCCCGTAGGGGCCTTGGACAAGTTGTCACTGATTATGTTCATGGAGATGCGTCACAGAAAGCTGCCAAGGCAGGCCTTTTGGCACTCTCAGCTTTAACCTTTGCTGGGCTTTGTTATTTCAACTATCATGACGTGGGCATCTGCAAAGCTGTTGCCATGCTGTGGAAGCTTTGACCGTTTTGACTTGAGAATTGATTGTATGCCTCTGCCTCTGCTCTGTCATTCAGCTYATAATAAGGAGGAAATAACAGAAAGTTCATTGGTGGGCAAACCTTCTTCTAATCACATGGTTATTTTAGAATTTAATTGTTGAGGAAGAGATTTGAGAGGAAATGTGTTCAAGAAATTATGAGACCCAGTTCTGCATTCTAGTGAGTTAATGGGGTTGTCTTCAAGTTCATGAGATTCACAGTATGACTAAACTTTACATATGAGCTTTTGCTTTTGTCAGTCTCTTAAAGAGAATTTAGCTTTAATATTATCAGTATATGATCATTTCTGCATTTATCTTGGAAATAATGGTCAAAGGGAAAGACTGTTAATTCATGACTTTGCAAAAAATTAGATGGTGTTTACTTTTGGAAACTTCTCTGTCTGTCCAGTTGATACCAGCTACTGATGGTTTTATGTCCTAGGGAAACTTTATAGGAGATGCTAAAATCTCAAATTACAGATTTCTATATCCTAGGAAGGAAAGATTGGAAAGCTTCTGAATATAGAGATGCTCAAGTTAGAGAAGAAGTCTTCCTTGTAGATATATCAGAATATTACAAATTCTAAACAGATGTAATTCTCCAATGTGTTTTACTTGTCCTAAAATAATCTGTCCACAAATATAAAACTAATAAATTACTTTCCCACTGTGGGAATTGGTAATAAGAAAATGTATTCCATGAAAAGAAATTTTTTTTTTTAAATAAAATGTTGTATAATAAAAATGTATTCTACTCTTTTATGTATTAGCTGTGCTTAGTCTTTTTTGTGTGTTTGTTTGTGTTTTTTTTTTTTTTTTTAAGTTGGTATCTCACTATTTTGCCAAGGCTGGTCTTGAACTCCTGAGCTGAAGTGATCCTCCTGCTTCAGCCTCCCAAGTAGCTGGGACTACAGGTGTACACTACTGTGCTTGGCCCTAATTTTATTTATTAGAATTAAGTGTTGCATTCATAACTCTAAAACGGAACTGTTTAAGTTTTGTTCTGAGATTTAGGAGTTAAGTAAATCAGACACAAAGTACTATAATGAAAAAGACTTACATGTGATAAGTAGAAATAATAAGAATAAATAGTTTGTTATGAATAGTATATGAAGATTTAGTAGTATGAATTAGGAATGTCTAGCTCATGATGATTTGTGGGTGCCAGCTTGAGTGTTTTTCCTAATAATACAGAATATTGAGCTAGCATGTTTCGCTCACCGAAGAATTAAAACCAAGAATCAATAAATGAGATGGACTCAAACTAAAAAAGTTTCTTCTCAGCAAAAGAAACAATCTGTGAGGTGAATAGAGAGCCTACATCTTGGGAGCAAATTTTTACCCCTCACATATCAAATCACTAATCTCTAGGGTATATAAAGAACTCAAAAGCTAAACACCAAAAAACAAATAACCCAATCAATAAATGGGCCAATGACATGAACAGACACTTCTCAGAAGAGGGTATTGAATCAACAAATATATGAAAAAATGTTCATCATCTCTAGCAATTAGAGAAATGCAAATCAAAACTCTTCTGATACCATCTCACTCCAGTCAGAATGGCAGCTATTATGAAGACAAAACAATAAGTGTTGGCGAGGATGTGGGGAAAAAGGTACACTCGTACATTGCTGGTGGGGCTGCAAATTGGTGCAGCCAATATGGAAAGCAGTATGGAGATTCCTTGGATAACTTGGAATGGAACCACCATTTGACTCAGCTATCCCTCTCCTTGGTCTATACCCAAAGAACTTAAAAACAGCATACTACAGGGACACAGCCACATCAGTGTTTATAGCAGCACAATTCACAATAGCTAAACTGTGGAATCAACGTAAATGCCCTTCAGTAGATGAATGCATTAAAAAAAAATGGCACATATACACAATGGAATATTACTCAGCAATAAAAGAATAAAATCATGGAGTTTTCAGGTAAATGAATGCAGTTGGAGAAGATAATGCTAAGTGAAGGTAGCCAGTCCCCCCCCCMAAAAAAATGGTAAATGTTATTCTCTGATATAAGCTGACTGACTCATAGTGGGGTAAGGAGGGGGAGCATGGGAGGAATACATGAACTCTACATAGGGCAGAGGGGTGGGAGGGAAAGGGAGGTAAAGGCAGAGTGTTAGCAATGATAGTGGAATGTGATGGACATCATTATCCAAAGTATATATATGTATGAAGACATGAATTGGTGTGCACATACTTTACATACAATCAGAGATATGAAAATTTGTGGGGTTTTTTGTTTTTTTTAAAGAGAGAATTTTTGTTTTGTTTTCGGCGGACATAACATCTTTGTATGTGGTGCTGAGGATCRAACCCTGTCCGCACACATGCCAGGCGAGCCTGAGCCACATCCCCAGCCCGAAAAATTTGTGTTCTATATGTGTAATATGAATTGTGATGCATTCCGCTGTCATGAATTTAAAAAATAAAAGTTAAAAAAAAATGACCTCCAGCAGCTGAGGCAAACTTGAGAGTTTGGCCGTTTCCTGGCCCAGGTCCAGTTGATTTGGTTATTAGGATGGAGCTGATTCTGTCTGGAAAATCAGTGGTTGCTATGAACTACTAAAGCAACAGTAAAATGAGGAAGGGACTATCTGCATTAAGGGGTTCCTGAGGGTAAGCAGGAAATGATGAGAATTGTGCTTTAGGAAGAGGTTAGGTGACAATTAGTAYGTTTAGGATGGTTGATAAGCTAGAGCAGAAAGAGATGGAAGAGGGCAGAGGTAGAAGAAAGGACCTGAACTTTGGCAGTGGAAAGTAGGAGTCAATTTCTTTCCTTTTTTGGTACTGTATTTTATTTAGAGACAGGGTCTCACTGAGTGCCTTCCTTTTGCGGAGGCTGACTTTGAACTCATGATCCTCCGAGTCGCTGGAATTACAGGTGTGCACCACTGTACCCAGCTAGGAGTCAATTTCTAAAGATAAAGTTTAAGTCAAAACCATTCATTCATTTCATAGATATAAGTATCTCATGTAATTGGCACCATGGATAAAAAGGGAATTTTCTCTTTTAAAGGAATTTATAGTTAATTGAGGCAACAGATGAATGGTTACAGTGACAAGTGAAATCATGGTTAAGCACATACTGCTGTGATAAAGTGGACAGTAAGAAATTTGCCTTAGGGGGCTGGGGATGTGGCTCAAGCGGTAGCGCGCTCGCCTGGCATACGTGCAGCCTGGGTTCGATCCTTGGCACCACATACAAACAAAGATGTTGTGTCCGCCGATAACCAAAAAAAAAATAATAATAATAATAAATATTAAAATTCTCTCTCTCTAATCTAAAAAAAGAAAAAACATATTTAAAAAAAGAAATTTGCCTTAGGTTTTCTGGAAAAGAAGATTTTTTAAAATCATTTTTAAAAATAATTTTTTAAAAATTATATTTATTTATTTATTTTTAATATTTATTTTCTAGTTCTCGGCGGACACAACATCTTTGTTGGTATGTGGTGCTGAGGATCGAACCCGGGCCGCACGCATGCGAGGCAAGCACGCTACCGCTTGAGCCACATCCCCAGCCCTAAAAAAATTATATTTAAAACATTTTTTTAGTTGTAGATGGACACAATACCTTTGTTTT